TTGTTTTTGTTTCAATATTAACCACTTAATTTGTCATAAATCTAAAGATATGTTTGAATAAAGTTTTTAAAAGAACAATAATTTTAAAATTTTCGAATGATTTGCGATCTGTTAGCGAGAGCAGAGCAAAAATTATTTCAATTTACTCATGTCATTGAACACAACGTTTGCAAATTTCTATACCTAGTAGTTACATGGAAACAGAAACAAAATCCTAAATCCTTTTTTTATTTTAAAACCTGTTAAAAATGTTAAACACTGTTTTAAAATATTATCATCAGTAAGACTTACTTTCAGACGGTAATTGCATTGATATCTTTTTTAGTTTTTGGATGATGATTTCCATTTTCTTTTCTTCGCCTTCTTCCCACGATTGAAGAAGAATATTTAGGTCGGCTTCATTTAGTGGATCCATCGACTCGATCTCTTTCAGACGCTCGATTTGTGTCCCATAATCACTGACATGACGATATGAGTGCGCAAGCCTTAATAATGCTGGCTTAATTTCAACCCACTGAGTCTCGAATTCGATATCGGAGAGTTTTGCCTCGGGGCTATGACCAGTGATTTCATTTCGACATTCTTTTACTCGAATCAGATCAGCCTCTTTGCTAATATCAGCTGGAGGTGGGGCAGCATTCCAACCTGTAGTGGGTGCAGTAAGGCCACAGGTATTCCGTAGGAGAAGGAAGAGCAATGTTATGTCGAAGGTAGACGACGATGGGACTCCTGGTGCTGTTGGGTATAACTTTACCCATTGTTTTACTCTCAGGACTCCTTTATTTTTAAGGGTTTTCAGCTTATTGTGTACAGCGGTGGAGTGGAGATGTTTTCGAAGATCACCATTCAAATGTAAGACTAATGAATCAAAGACACCTCTCAAAACTCTTGTCCCAATATCGATTAAAAGTCTGCTTAATCGAGTGTAGTTATTTTTTTGCCTTGGAGTCGACGATGACGTTGTTGCTGGTTGTGGTGGCGGTGGTGGTATCGGCGGGGGCGGCGGCGGAGTTGGTGGTGCACTCTTAGGCATAATTTACATGTTCATTGAGATAATTTCTTTAACAAATAAAAAAGAAATAGAGTTAATGATTGACAGCTGGACGTCACTACCCGAAATGCTTTTCGCGATTCTTTTTTTTTGTTGTTAGCTTCCACATAATTAATTCGAGAGCGCGAAAACATAAAAAAGAATAAATGTCAAACTGGTCACAATTAAACTATGAACAACTTTCAAAATTTAGATTGTTTTCTAAATATACAAAGTGTGCCCTGGCCCAAAATACATGAATTCGACCACTCGAACATCAAGTATTTATAACTTCTAAAATTTGACATAACGTAGGAATAATTAGGAAATAGTGATTAACTCAAAGGAGTCATAAATTTCAAACCTTTTGCACAATTGAATTATCGAAAATATCATTTGTTAAAGGCCCAGTGTGGAACATACTTTGGTTGCCGTGAGGGCCTGGAGGCGGCCATTTTCAATTTTCCGAAAGTCTATAAATTGTACTGTGCGTTTCGAATCTTTGACCATCTCACTTTTCTAAGCACTTTAAACACAAATACTAGAGTTTTCAACCATCTGGCATTCGTTTTATGGTGATATTTGGATGCTAGAAGTATTTTGGTGTAAATCACAACAATAACAGAGGCATGCAAAATGGGCCCTTTAAGGTGTTTTTTTTTTAACAGGACGTAGCGTTTTTATTTTCTTCTTTTTCTATTTTTAATCTATCCTTACTAGTAGTATTTACTTATTCTTCTACACTTTTTCACAGCATTAATCAAAATCGATATATTTTCAAATCGAAAATCGTTCATAAGTTGCTCATTTTTCGTGTTAAATTTTCTTTGATGAAATACAYTGGCAAAATGTAAAACGAAAACGACGCTGGACTCTTTTATTATCATTTATGAATTACAAAGAATATTTATTCCCCTTTATTGTCTGCCTAACCATAATAAAACGCTACAAATAACGCGCTGAAGTCAGCTTCATTTGTACTGCGCATGCAGTACTAGTTTTAAAAGTCAGAGTGTTCAAATTTACAATTGAATTTAACAGTGAACCGCTTTATACTGTACCTGTTTTATTAGAATGAAATATGACGAACACTTGGATAACCTAAAGGTGATGGGAACTCCTTTGAAGGACGATACTTTGGTGTGACTAATTTATGCAGTAGGTAATGTAATACGAATATATGAATTCATGCATTCATACAACTGTAACAGTCACACACAAAGAATCAGTACTGTGTCATTCAAGCATAGACCAGGTTCTCGATGTCGGTTGTCAGTTAAAATTTCAAGCCATTGACGGCCCGAAGCAAAATATATTTTTCAGCAGAAAACTTCGAATGTTGTTGCTTGAAAAATGCAAAAAAAATTCTATAAGGTAATGTCTTTGAATATGGCCTAAAAATATATTCTTTAAGGAAAATGTCGCAAGTCAGTAAATTGATCGTTTTCAACCATTCCCATGAGATTCATGGGAATGCGGCCATGTTGGAGGAATGAACAATGGATACWAACSAGAAATCCTTTGTTGAAGTTCCTCCAAGATGGCCGCTATGACGTAACCTGAAAACGAAGAATATGTTGTTGTCGGTAGTCAGCAAATTTTGTTCATATTTGTCGCTAGTCAGTTGTTATTTTGTCCATTTGTCGCTAGTCAGTTGTTATTTTGTCCATTTGTCGCTAGTCGGTTAAGCCCATCCAGACCCTAGACTGCTATCACTTATATCAATGTTTTTATACTTTTATTCAGTTAAATCGTAATGTCAGATCTTGCATTTTGGGAAAGGTGACGCAT